CGGCTTCCACCGATTCGAAACCCCGAGCCGCGCATCCACAAAATGTTCCGCGACTTTTGGCTATACTGTGTAATAATGGGATTTACTGCTTCCGACTCAGGTAGAACTTTTAGTCCACTGCATAGGAAACGAGCAGAACAATTTTTTGTTTATTTAGGGCTCTGGCCTGCCGAATGGTATGAAGGAGTGAAGGAAATCGCGGCGAAATCTCCAGCTTTGGTCTCTCCCACGTCCAGTCGGTCGGAAATGCGAGAGTTGCAGTACACGAGCGCAGTGAAGAACGATAGTGTGTCCATTACTGAACTTCAGGAGCTGAAGAACCAAATCCTGGACCGACTTCGGCATCCTGCCGACGTCACTGCAATTGTTAACAACAAATTGACCTTTGCACAGTGCACTTTCCTGTTGAGTGTCTACTGGGTGGAGATATTAAGGTAAAGGAAATTGAATTGAATTTCTACTACATAACAATTTTTTCCTTATCCAAACATTTCCTTGTCGATGGTTCACTGTCTAAAAAGACCATTTAGTTCTCTTCGGAATGATGTAAAAATGAGCGTTCTTGCTCGTGTTGCTTCCTAGAAACGCGCAAAATCGGGACGGAAAACTTGAAAATTTGACATAATCTTGTACCTTAGTGTCTGATGTTCACTAGGATATGCGGATGATATCGCCATTGTTGTGCAGGGAAAGTTTGGAGGCACTGTGTCATCACTGATGCAACAGGCGCTAAACATTACCGAACAATGGTGTAACACGGAAGGGCTGAAAATTAGCCTATCCAAAACATAAAGATATCTTGGAGCGCTTAGGCCTTAAAGTAATGTCTATGTATGGGAACATAATACATATGTCCGACACTGTTAAATATCTTGGGGTAACCCTTGATAACAAACCGCTGTTTAAAGAACATGTGGAGCAGAAAACAAACAAGGCGATCAGAGCTTTATGGAGCTGCAAACGCACTTTTGGGAAAACATGTACGTCACTATTGTGAAACCGAGGCCAACGAGAAAGACAGGCCATGGCGCTCGACTATCACGTGATCAACTTAGTCCGACTATCTGGTTTAGTTTGGTGAGGTTGCCGTAGGTTAAGGGCAGAGTAATTTCAAGAAACTTGTTTGTTTCTCTGAAAATTGCTAAATCTGATTTTTTTATTGTGTCAAGTTGTGTTAAATACGGATCTACAATACTAAGTTTAGTGCAGGTATGTTTTTTTTACGAAATAGTTAGAGAACTTCCACTTCAGTGTTTGTGTTATTATTATACTCTGAATTTATTTTAAGGATTTCTACAGGCATTAACATGTTTAATACTTGTTTATGATTTATGATTTATTAATTATTGTTCTTTTATGACTTCTAGATTCAGAACTAAGTGTTAATTAGAAGCAATCAAGGAGAAACTTTCAAATATGCCACGGCATTGCAGTGTTACTGGATGCAAGTCTAACTACAAAAGTCAAGAAGAAGGTGTTTCCACTTTTGCTCTTCCTTCTGATAAAACGTTGCGCCAAAAGTGGATAAAAAAAATACCGACAGATCTATCGATGTTAAAGAATCCTATTGTATGTATCAAACATTTTGAGGAACGTGAAATTATTAAAGTAGACAAGTGTATTGTGAATGGAGAGTGGCAAGAATTTGTTCGAAAAATACCGAAATTGAGAAAGGGTGCAGTTTCAACAATTTTTGAAAATGTACCGAAATACTTGAGTGCAACTCCGAGGCACTCAAATGGTGTAAAGAGGTTGCATGAAGTTGAGCAAGACCAAATGGAAAAAGCAATTAAAGATAGCTTACAGACACATAAAACATATTTAGAAGAGAAACAATTAAACACTTTGGAAGATATTTTGTCGTTTCACAATAATCAAAGCAAACGCTCAGAATGGATTTTGATAGGTGGAAAGGAAAAGCTCCATCTTATTATCGTCGATATAAATGAAGGTGCACCGTTCATCTTGTGTTCCTTAGTGATTTTTGCGAATATGAATTATGAAATTTATATAAGAAGCGTTAAATTTCCAGTGCAAAAAGTTCCTCAAAAACTGAAAGTTTTAAAGTCTTTGAATATAATAGAAGACATTTTAATTTTTATTCTTGAGCACGCTAATAATGTTCAGAGTGTAGCAGAAAATCGGTTGGAGGCAGCAATAGATATATTAACTAAAGTTAGTACAAACATTGAAGATCATTTACAGTTGTCATTTATAATTGAGCAGCTTCAACTGTCTAAACGACCCCCTCACACCAGACGATACACTGGGCATACAATAATTTTGGCTTCGACATTATTTATTCAGTCATCAGCTTCTTATGTTGCATTGTACAATAGTGGATGTATTTATTTGCCTCATCCCAGGAATATCAAAAAAGTGATAAGTAAAATGTCATTGCATGCATCTGATCTCAAAGGGAGTATTGATTATTTAAAAACTAAATTGTCATTTTTGAAAAATCATGAATTTATAATCAATGTCCATTTGGACGAAATTTATGTGAATCCAGTGCTGAATTTTAARGGTGATAGTATTCTAGGATCKAATACSACAARTCGCWAMGAMAGTGCAAGCTWRKAYRYTTTCTAAATATAAGGATKTGGYCAGTMTAKTWCCTARWTAYWAAKTTAASTGCTCAGCAACWAAAAATTATGATTTTTAATGTTTTGCAAGAATTAGAAAGTATAGGATTTTTTGTTATAGCTTTAATATCCGACAACAACCCTGTGAATAAAAAGGCGTTTGAACTTTTTTGTTCTAATGGTATTCTTCACCCATCTATTGTTCATCCGTTGGACTCATCTAGATCACTTTTCTTCATTTTTGATGTTGTTCATATACTAAAATGTATTCGTAATAATTGGATTAGTAAGAAAACCGATAATTGTAAATTTGTATATCCTGATTTTGAGCTTAATAATGAAAATTTAGTTGCAGCACAATTCAAACATCTTGTAACCTTATATGAATTAGAAAAAAATTCCGTAATTAAGTTAGCTCATACATTATCATATAAAGTTTTATATCCTTCTTCAATTGAAAAACAAAATGTAAAATTGGCAATAAACATTTTTAACGAAAAAATGGTGCCGCTCTACGTTGCATCTCTAGGAACCATCCCGAATCATTTTCTAATGCTGATGGAACTTGCATATTTTTAAATATTTTTATTAAATGGTGGAAAATTTTAAACGTTAAAAGTGTTTGGGAGGGTAAGCGATTTAATGATTAATATAGAGAACCGGTAAGATCTAATTCTACAACACAAACTGATTTTCTTAAACAAATGTCCTTGTGGCTTAAAAACTGGAGATTGTCGGTACCTATTTCTCAGTCATTGTCAGCGCAAACTTTTCATCACTCATTCATACAACCGACACTTTTTTGCATCTTATACCATACATATTTGAAAAATATCAATGTGATTACTTGTTATTAAGTAAAATTACCGTATGGGTGACATTAGCCATTACAGAGGACTCCGTATGGTACACGAAAGGCATAAAAACAGCGTCGGGCACAGGCGCTGGTATAGTCGAAAGAGGAAAAACCTGGGAAAAGGATTGTCTTGAACCTGGGTACAATCACGACCGCCTTCCAAGCAAGTATTCTAGCGATAACACATTGCGCCCGGAAAATGAGGGAAAGAGCATACACACGTAAGCACATTACCATCGTAACCGGAGATGAAGCCAGCGTAAAGGCACTTGAATCGTACACAATCAGGTCACAATATGTGCTAGATTGTGTAAAAGAACTTACGACTCTGGGGGTCAAACAGAGTAAAACTCACTTGGGCAACTGTGATAAACAGGAGCAAAGGAAAACGAGATTGCTGCGGAACTTGTTAAAGCAGGGGCCGAGCAACCACTGACCAACCAAGAACCTGCTTGTGGTTCCTGTTTCTTGTTGAACCAAGAAACAGCTTATCTGGAGTCCCACACAGTCCAGAACGACAGATCAGCAGCTCTGGGTGTGCGCAACAGAGCATTTCCTAAACCTCACAACCTCGAGAAACGCAGCGTCATCTTTAAGTCGACTTTGCAACTCGAAAAAACACGCAAATAAAAAACTTCGTGAAATCAAGACTTTTTTTTAGAAAACTGCCTAAATTTCCTTATCGATGGTTCACTTTCTAAAAAGGCCATTTAGTTCTCTCTGGAATGATGTAAAAATGAGAGTTCTTGCTCACGTCGCTTCCGACAAACGAGCAAAAACTGCATATTTTTGCACCTAAGTGTCTGATATTTTGATAAATATTTTTAATGCGTTGTTCTACTATCATTTAAGATGAAATATGCATATTTAAGTCTCTTCATATGTGTTCTAGAGTGCAACATTCGGGTGAACCCAGCCTGGTACCGATAATATCGGACTACCTCAGCGATTCAGCGCTTCAAAAAGACAAAGCCGGATTGTGGAACTGTGTAGCGGCCGTGAGCGACCGAGTATTTGAGAAGTTTCTGGAAGTGATGAGCAACAAGCCAAAGAATGAGGCGCGTGAAGCCGACCTGGAGCAGCACGCTCAATTCCTTTTGGTGAACTTTAACCATACGCATAAACAAATTAGGAGAGTTTCCGATAAGTTCTTGGTGGCTTTGGTGGACAAGTTTCCTCACTTGCTGTGGAGCAGACGGTGAGTTTGGATTTTACTTCCATACACAACTTTACTGTTACTCACCTACAAAGAACTCGTATACTAAATAAGTCGGCAAAATGTTTGCATATTTGTTATTTAAGTCGTTGCAGTTATATTGGGGTATTTCTTTGAATATTTGTAATTTTCAGTTGAAAACTAAACATTGAAACCTTGAGTTCTTTTCAACTGGTCTCGGCCCTGTTTTTTTTTTTTTTAGTTTTTCTTGAGATCCACCTAGCAAAAGACTAATTTGCAGGAGCAATCAAATTGATCGTTGCCAAATTTCTTATTAAGTTTTTCCCAAATATCTCAATTTTTAGGGAGAATGAGGTTTTGTCTGTTCTCCTTAAATACCCGCAGACAACACTTACCTTAGGCCAAAGACCTGTACTTGTGCCTCAAAAGCTCAGCTGGCGCTTTTCTGAATTAGTCCCAATCCATTCTAAATCCTGATTGTAATGAGCGCGAATGTGTCGAATTTTTCAGGGTTTTGTGGACGATGCTTGATATTCTCCAAGTGCTGTCTTACTCCTTAGAGGTGGATCCGAACCAGGAGACGCCCACACTGAAAATTCCTCAAACGCCTTACTCGATCCAGTTGATGGACACACTTGAAGCGAGAGAGTCCATAATTAGAGATTTCGCCGACAATTCGGAACGGATTATCAAGGAAGCAATGCGTTGGGCCCCGCAATGGACTCGCTCGTACATTCAAGAGTACATAAATCAAATCCCTACCTCAGGTATAGATTTGGCTGCTTGTATTGAGGGTAATCACACTTAAAATATGTTCGCCAGATATGTGGCATCATGCGGGTTTGGCCATGGCACTGGACTCCATTCTGCATAATGGGCCTTTGAACGCTTACAGCTCCCACTTGAGCGCCAGCACGTTGGAAAAGCGGCCGCAGTGTGTTAAAACTGACTCCAGCAAGATTATTTCCACGTCTGCGATGCGATCTAAGTACATGGGAGAGGTTAGTTAATCTTTTCTTTTCGCTTACGTGTTCTGCTTGGGAAATTTATGTTGAACCAAGCCGGTACATTTGGAAGGCTACGCCCCTATACACTGTCTTCTTGAGGCATAGCTTCCCTCCCCATTCTCTGAGTGAATGTGCATGAGAGAAAAGCACGAGTTTTTTCTCTGGTCGTGCACAATAGTACCGCGGTGGGCTTAAAAGAAACAATATTTTTGTTTTTCCAACTCGGCGTCACTAAAAATGGCTGCGTGGCGTGGCGTCCATTTCAAATTCAAATTCAAAATAATTTTTATTCATCATATACAAAAAAATATATATTCAATGCATGTTTACATAATTTGACGAATAATGGACTTCTAAAGATTGTTCTTGCAAGAGTTTAATCTTAATGTATTTAGAAAATGTAGGTAGTGAAAAAGCCTTAACTTCATTTGAAATATTGTTCCACTTTTGCGTTGTAATGAAACTAAAAGACTTGAATATTTGTAGAATGATGTTGAGGTATCAAAAAAATCGCCAATATATCGAGTTTGATGAGGATGATCCTTTGTGATAAAAAGTTTATACAGATAAGATGGTTGCTTGGACTTTAAAATTCTATAAATTAAATTATGTAAGTGTAATTCACGCCGATTTGCCATGGACAACACTGAATAATTATTTGAATAAGGTGTAATATGCTGCCGGTAAGGTACTTCATATGCAAACCGCATACATGCATTTTGCAACCTTTGGATGGATTTTGCAGTTTTATTAGTTAAAGAACCATGACAAACAGCATCGCCATAGTCCAGTAAAGATAAAACTAAAAATTACACAAATAAATTTTGTTTTTTAAAGCAGATTTTTTTTATGTTATACAGTTTTTTTGTCTAAGGTATGCAATGTCTAGTTTTCTTTTAACATGCGTTTCAAAAGTGAGGCTAGTATCATAAGTTTTTGGCTTCTGTAACAATAGGCAACCGTTCATTATTTAATATTATATTTAGGATTTTATTTATATTGGATATTTGGTTTTTATTTTCTCCTAACAGCATAATACATGACGTTGTAGCATTAAGCTTTATTAGCGTGTTATTTTGTGCATAAGTGCTTACATTTTTTAAATGTACATTAATTTTTGTTGCAAAATTTTCATGTTGATTGGGATTAAAAGACATATACAATTAAGAATCGTCTGCAAACTGTTTAAGTTTAGAATTAGCAATACTTTCCTTTATATCGGCAACATACAAAGAATACAACACTGGCCCTAAAACTGACCCCTGCGGAACTCCACTGCTCACTGGCAAGTAATTAGATTTTATTTTATCTGGTCCATGATTTATAAGAGCACACGGAGAACGTCCAATGGTTCCCGAAGCTCCCAGTCGAGACAAGATACAGAACCCTTAAATGTTATATATGGTCTCTACTGTTGTATGGAAGTGAGACCTGGACCCTCAAAGCAGAAGATCCGAAAAAACTGAACGCCTGCGAAATGTGGATGTACCACCGTATGTTACGGATAAGCTGGACAAGCAAGACCACAAATGAAGAAGTCATAAGAAGAATGCACACACGCCCACACCTCACTAATACCAACATCAGAAAAACAGTTGGCCTAATGCATCTATTGCGACATGCGGAGTACGAATAGATTCAATTAATACTGGAAGGAAAAATCGAGGGAAAACGGAGTATAGGCAGGAAGAAGAAATCATGGCTCCGAAATATACGTGATTGTAGCAAGACTGACGGAAATACGCTCGTCCATCAAGCAGATGAGAGAGACCAATTTGCCATAATAGTCGCCAACCTCATCAGATACGGCACCTGAGAGGAGGAGGAGGAGGAGGAAACTCGTTCAAGCTAAAGAATTTATAAATTGGACATTATTCTCAACAGATTTCCGCAAGCTGGGGCCCCATCCTCCATTTTCTCGCCATTAGTCCTCAAAACGTCTACACCACTTGGACACACAACCAAAATCGACTGGAAATTGAAAATTTTACCTGAAAAAATTGTATGTTAACAAATTAAGTGCCTAAATTGTGTAATAAAGTATTAAGAGTTTAAAGCTACTATTTTCAAAATCCGCAATATAACATTCGCAAAGGGCGAAATGGAAATCTGAGTCATAAAATCCACAAATCTGCACATGCGAGCAGCATAATTGCTACAAAAAAGCTACAACCCTGATTGCCATCTACTTTTATGAAATAAAATGCTGTCCGGATCCAGACCGCTGGGATTCCTTAAATCTGCGATTTTTCTCCAAAAAACTTATCACCATTTAGTGGCTTAAATTTAGGCCAGCCGCAAGTCTGGTTTTAATTTTGGTCTGAACTTCACCGCTAGTTAATCTATAAAGTGTGACTTAAAATAAATTTTACAATAAATTGCAGTTAACAAATCGGCAAAAAAGAGAGAATTACAAGGAATCCATAAAAGTTAAGTCGCTTTTCGGAAAACCAAAATCAGTTTACTCTACAGGTTTTATAGATTAGAAATCGGTTTTACCAGCTTTCTGCAAGCTGGCGCCCCATCGTCAATTTTCTACCCACTACACTTGATGACACAAGAAATGCATTTCGAATTATGCAACGGCAGGCCGGATAACTACCACATTTTCCCTAAAGATCAGAATTATTCTATATTTTCCATCTAACAACTGGATTCACACCACACAAAGGCCAGGCCATCGGTTTCGTCCGTTGGCTGTAATAAACTAAATATTCCGACACTTTCCAAAAAATCCATGCGAGATCGAAACTTTGCCGCATTCCCTAGGCACCACCTACTACAGAGCCAACATCGTGAAATAATAATAATTTGCTTGAACGCCCGTTGGATGATTCATTGCTTGGCATGGCACTTCTATTTCAGTATTTTGATTGTTGGATTTGTTTTATAGAATTTGCCGGTCGCACGTCAGTATTTTAAATTTTACCAAATTATATGCTTCGAATCAGTCGTTTTATTCGATCTTTGTGAAATTTTCAGCAATTTGAGCTTGATATTTTGTGTAAGGGCTGGTTAAATGGCCCACATTTCCCACAAGCCATTATTTGTCAATGCTTTTTTGGTGGAAACATCAAGATCGAGGGAATACGTGACTTCATTTTCAAAAGATTTTTCCGATTAGTCCTGCTCGATTTTTCTGAAAATGTAAACTTTTTATGCTGGATATGTTCGGTGAAATTCAGTTATTTGTTAAATCCAGGTTCAAACCGTGCCCTAATTTGTGATTGCTTTCTTTGCTCGCTTGCTGCGCTTATAGAGACCGCATACTACTGGATTTTAGCACGCGCTTATCTTTGAATATTTTGCTTTCCTTTCTTGCTTTTATAAAACTTTCAAGTTTTATGGCTTGTTATGAACCTTGTTCTTAAACCGCATAGAATAACCCGCATTTTTAAAGACTCACTTGCAAAACTGGTCGAAGAAAAACGCCCCTTTCAAGCCTTAAACTTAAAAAGGTCCCGGACATGCAGGGAATCCATCCACACGATTTTCAGAACAAAATTGTTTGCATTGATCGATACTAGCAGCAATCTTCGTTCTAACCCCTGTTTAGAGTTGCAAATTTTTAAAAAATCGGTAAATCGGGTGGAAGCAAAACTGCCCGTTCAATCCTTAGACTTAAAAATTTTCCTAACATTTAGGAAAAGTATACCTAAATTGGCAATCGCTGGATAAACGAATATTGCCTCTCTCAGCATTCTTCCTAATCCCCGTTTGCGATAGCAAATTAGTGAAAAATAGTGAGTGTAAATAGAAACTAGCAGGGTGAATAGAGCAAACTTTCCTGTATTAAATGCTGCTGAAACCATTGAAAGTCATACATTTTGGAAAAACATGTGTATGTCAATGTCAACAAATAACATGACAGTTAATTTGTGAAAATGTCATGCCATTTTATTTGGAATGTAATTCGCGAGTTGCTGGTGGCTAAAATTATAACTACAAGTTAACTAGTAATTTGACACTTGTTTTGTTGACATTGGGTGTTACATCTTATTGCGATTTGTTTTGTTCTAATCAACATTCAATTCGTTCATTAATTCACATTCATTTTTGTTACAATTGATAGACAAGCCTGACAAGTCTCAACTGTCACTCGGCAACGAGTAATTTGACGTTTCGCAGCGCCCCCATCGGTTGTTGAACTCGCGAATTTCTTACAACTTTTATATTTGAAGTTTTCCTGTCAGATTGACGTCAGTTATATTGACGGAACTGAGAGTTATTTAAAAATCTGCCATAAATTGGTATTTTTCAAATATCTCTTGACAGCTGTCAAATTTTGACAGAATAAAAATGGTCTCGATTAGAGCATTCAAAATTGTAATTCTTTGCGCTGAAGAAAACTCACCCTGTATATTATCAGACCATGTGGAATATAACTTTACAGCACTTGGTTAATATTTATTATAAGAAAACGACTTCTTCAGGTAAATGGGATGTTGAAAATCTTCGGAAACGACCGCAAAGAAGAGTTAATCAACACTGTATTGGGTAGAGTATGGAGTGCCTGTAAGCAACAGTCTGACTCCATGCATAGAGAAGCTATTTGGCAAGCTACCGCCTTACTGATTCAAAGCTCCGAGTTCAACAGTAACTTGTTGCATGCCATCACATGGTCCCAGGTGATCAAATATTCTCTACTTTTATTCGTACGCTTATAACCAGAGGTTCATTGCCAGGTTGAATTATTCAGCGTGGAAGCTATGCGAACGGCGGTAGAATGTTGGAAGTGGCTCACCACTTCCCAGCCGGAGCTGGAGATGCGATTTCTGCAAGAAATGGTTGCTGCTTGGAAGTGCACTGTTCACAAGAAGTTGGGCCTGTTTTCCGTGACCCATCAGCAAACCAGTCCTTTGGCGGTTCACGAAGGTAGGTATTGTTAAGAATTTACACTAAATAATCGCGGTGTTGAAACGGTTTGAATTCGTTACTGAGTCACGAAAAGAAGATACGGTTTGAAATACCGAATTGTTACTACGCAGTTACTCAGATCTTTCGTTACTCAGTACTGGTAGGGATTGATCCAACTGTATGGGTGTGAGCGAAATCTGCAAATACGACGATGCGATTTGAACTATTGAATCCCTTGTTGAGTTGAAGGTTTGGCGGTGGTTTGGTGCTACAGGAAGGGTGCAGTTTGTTCGAAACTAAAAATAACCGAATAATTATTTTTAACTATAGGTGACTAAAAATTTTCTTTAGAAGCAATTGTATATACTTTCCTGACTGTGTTTCAATTCCAAATCAAAATTAATGCCTGGGTTTCAGTCATTTATTATATTTATTTATCAATTAAAATACGTTTCGGTGTATTTTTCCACCATCATCAGTTTTTACGTGTAGCGTTGTTGCTGCTTTAAGCCTTGGCATACATTTGCCAAATGTATGCCAAGGCTTAAAGCCATTAATAAATATTGACTCAGATAAAAGTCGCTTAAAAAACTGCATGCTATGATATAAAGACGGCGAATCTTTAATTTAACGCATGTAGCAACTTGAAACTTTTACATTCTATAGAAAACGCTTCAATCTGAAAACTCTGAAAACTGCATTAAAATCGTAGTAAATTCTGAGTATTGGTAATATAGTAAACGTAGGCCTAAAAATCAAGGTTTTCGCAAAACTGCGCCCTTCGCTTTAAAAACTGAGAACTTTTGATTTAAAAGAAGCAGCAACCCAAAAGTTTCACTGTCAATAGGAGACGATTGGATCGGAATACTGTGTGAATTTCATTGTGAAGTCACGTGCAAATAGGGATGGGAGAAGAACATCGATGTTAGATCCTGAAATAAAAACATCGGACATTTGATGTTGATACTAGATAGAAGCATTTTCTGCGGACTCTTTGATAGAGCTGATACAAACGATACCGCGGCATATATAATGGCCCATTTCTAGTTGCACCCGAAAAAAACCTCTTTGTTTTTGATCGTCTGGCAGCTCTTGAAATGTATAGTTTATTAGAAAAGCTCTCGACAAATCCAGTCTGTTCCGTAGTTTGCAGTCAAATGTTAACGTTTCCTTAAAGCGCTCTAACGCAAGTTTTATGTTTATATCCAGCACACTACGCAGAGTGTACACCTGCATTTAAGCAAACTAAGCATATGTAAGACTTAGATTCAATCACAGATGAAATGTAAAATAATAAACGTTGTAAGCAGAATGTCTGCATGCATGCATATAAGCACTAAACATTTTGAAGATATAAATTCTGTCACAGATGAAATGCGACTTAGTTATAATAATAACGTGGTAAACTCGACATATCGTCTGAAGGGTAAACGGTTATCCGAATTACTTTTTTTACAGTCAGTTGACTGAAAAATGTGGCCACTATAAGTTGAATAAATTTAGTCGATTATTTAACAATGCATTGTTTTAAAATGTCATAGTAGTAGTGAAATAAAATTATTTAGGTTTAAGTAAATCAATTTGAAATTTGTATGCAACGGCTATCAGAACATCGATGTTGTCAAACATCGATGTTCTGCCTCCGATGTTTCCTTAACATCGATATTACCTTTCGATGTCAACATCGATGGCTACCATCGATGTTATATGATCGATGTCCAATCTCATTTAACCCAAGCACATTGAAACTTTTGCAATCTACAAAAGACACTTCGGTCTAAAAATCCTGAAAACGGCATTGAAATTGCATTAAATCCGCATTGTTTCCTACTTAGTAAATGTAGGCTTTTATCTTCCTTGATATAATAGCGCCTTAAATTATAATTAACACTCGTTTTAGTGTAACGATCTAGTCTATTTCTGCCTGTTTTTATTTTTGAATCATTATACATTCTTAGAATGTCTAACCGGAGACTTCTAAGTATAATGTCTTCGGGAAATTTTGTCCTAACACTTCCTGAAGTAATCGGAATTTTTTTATTCAGTGAATCAGACAGTAGTTAAAACACAAACGACAATAACAACAGCCTTACTACATACTATTTTTCCCTCTGGGCTACCCTTCTATTTTAACCAGAGTGTCCCCGACTGATCTGCTAAGCAAAGTTTTTTTCTAGGGTGTCTTTTGGAACCAGACAATCCATTTGTAAAGCCGCACGTTATTTGGGTGCAGTTCATTTATGAGCTGGTGGAAACGATCAAGTCCAGCAGCTATGAGAAGGTGGAAATGATCGTCAGTTTGATACATCATTCTTTGCCCATGTCGGTAGGATCTGAGCCTGCGATTCTCAATAGACATACTTCTGCTATAGGAGTGAGGTTTAAGTAAGTTCAGTTGAATATTTTGTATTTGCCTTATTCAAAAGAAATTGTATATAGGCTGATGACATGCGGTTTATCGCTCTTACAAGGCGACATACTGCCGAAAAGCTTGGCCAAGAACGTTCTGCGAGAGCGAATTTACTGTTGTTGTCTGGACTACTTTTGCAAACCGGTCAAGTGCCCCACACAAAATGCGATCGATTTACGAGAGGACGTCACGACTTTAATCAAGTTTTGGCAGGCGCTGCACTCCGATCGGAAATACCTGAAGGACAGTGATGTAGGAGGTAAGAGAGTCTGGTTTATAGAGCAGATATCAATAAAACACGCAGAATTCGATAAATAACAGTTTAAAGACACGGTTATTTTGCACACCAAAAATGCAGGTTTCCTGGTTTTTGGTCTAAAACGAGAAAAACCGGAAAATTTGGATAAACTTTAAAATTCTTCAGACCGATGAGGTTTTCAATGAGTTTTCCAAATAGTTGCCTCTGATCGTTTTCTGGAAAACTATTTTTTTTTCGACAAAAAAGAACAAAAGAACTTTGTTTGGATTTTGTCCCAAATTCAAAGGTAAAACGAGTATTCGGTAAAGACACCAAATGAAGAAAAAGAAGACCAAACTATAAATACGCCCAGTTTTCTTGTAAAGTCCGTTTTAATTTTTTTTGATTCAAATACTCTGTTTGCCACAGTTTAGAAAGAGTTTTGTTTAGAAATATTGACCTAAAAGTGAAGAAACCGGAATTAAAAATAACTAAATTATTCACAGCGACGAAGTTGGCAAACTTTCCAAATAATTGATTAAAAAGTTTCGCTTCTTCTGTTCGGAAAAATATGTTTGGGAAAAAGCCCAGAAGCAATTATTAGGGTTTTGTCCAAAATTCGAAGCTGCAAAAGTTTTTAAAAAAATCTTCGGAAAACTGTTAAAGAGGTGAGTGTTCCAATATAATTTATTTTATTATTTCACTCATCCATAGCAACCCCATAGGGTAAAAAAGGTATTAATAAACGGTAATTCGATAATTTTCAAAAAAACTCACAACGA